CAGCACACCCCTTCCCCCCCCCCACGCCACAGGAAGCTAGAGCTAGCTCTAATTTTGTGGGAGGCAGGAGGCTGTAGCACCAGCACAGGGTCCTTGTTAGGGGTGAAGGGGAGAAAGCAGGTGCTGGGAACACCTCCTCACGATCAACTGGACTGTCAGTCGCAATCTACTGGTTGATGACCATGGCACTAAAGTAGTCCTCATTGCCTATCAATTGATCATGTCACTCCATTCCCAGAATTGGGGAAAACAAGCAAGCAAATATGAGGAGGGTTTCATTTCAATGGCTCATTCAATCCCTGACTACAAGCCAAGACAAACAAAAGAGACTTAATTACTGCATATCAATCTCAAAAAACAGGACTGAAAGCCTCTAATTTAGAAAGAGGTTTTTTATGTTTTGATTCAAATGTTTTGAAGAACTGTCTCCAGAAATGTAGCAGACAAAACCAGGTGTACTCCTAGCAATGCCTCAAGTGCAATCACATCATTCACCTTCCTCCAGGATTGTAGAGTCACGTGGCATCTGCAGCAGGGAAGCATCATTTTTACACTTCATTAAGCTGAATTTCTTAAAAAGAAAATTCTAACCTGTGTCTCTGAGGTCAGCAGCTTTGGTCCTGGCCAGTTTGGCTTTAGTGTTGTCATGTCCATGAGGGTTGTCTTCATTGGTGAACAGCATGATTCTCTTGTGGCTCATCTTGAGCCGGACATCACTGAAGAGATTACAGCAGGCCCACAGTGCTTCGCCCAGTGAGTAGTCAGCATTATGGCCAAATGACTCACGGAAGAGTGCTTTTCCCTGGTCTCCCTTGTACTTATCCAACTCTAGTACTCGTTTGGCACCTAGATGGAAAGACAGTAAGGGCATTTTATAAGAGCTGAAACTGCCGACCATTTTCCCAGCCAGAAAAAACACATAGCACCTCGTGGGATGAGGTTTACCAGGAAGGTTGACAAATGCCTTTGATGTCGACCACTGAGCGTCCAGACTACAGCGCTGAGCGGCCAAACAGCTGATCGGCACAGCACGACAGCCATTTTAATTTAAATGAAGTGGCGATTATTTAAATCACGGCTTCATTTGGGTATGTCTAGTAAACTAATCTACATGGCTCTGGTGACAGAGCCATGTAGCCTAGACATACCCTCACTCTTACCTACACTTCTGTCACATTAACCTTACTGCTGCTGTTAGTTCCCACTAAGGATGCAAGAATTGAACTGGTTAATCAATAAGCTTGATGTTTATCACTTTCTGTTAGTGGTTAAACTCCATCCAGAATCTCAGCTGCCCTCTGCCATTTAAGCATTCCTGAACAGCCAGGGTTCCTCTCAGTTGCTGACTCCATAGCTGGAGTCCCTCCTTGCAGCCAAGCCATCGGTGCTGCCTTCTCATGCTACACCAGCAGCTGGGACACCAGGCATTTCTGTATGCTGAAGCAACAATCGAGTCCTCCCCATCACACCCTTAGTTTCCTGGATAAGTGTTTAACTGTGTAACTGACAGAATTTTAATCTGTTACATACTTACTGTTTTCACACATTATTTACATTTTGGTTCTCAACCAGAGTTACATAATAATGAAGTTGGCAGCAAAGTAAGTCAGACACAGAAACCTTACATATCTACTGCAAACAATGGTATGGCAGCACATACACAGTACATCCCAGCAGTACAGCAGATGCCTGACTAGCTTTCAAGAGTCTGAATGGGACCTTCTTGAAAGCCTGTAAGGCACTTGCTGCACTGCTAAAAATTCCTATGTATGTGCCAGAAATGCACTTCAATAAAAGGGGACAATGGCTCAAATACAGGGCTTAATGTTTGGAAGTACAGAAAAATATGGAGAAGAGAGGCAGGACCGACCCCCCTCCCCCCCACACAAACGAAATAAACACTGATAGCGTGTGTTCTTTAACCTGTCAATAGGAAAATTCTAAGCAGGGAAGTTGCTATACCTATCAAAATCTCAGGACAGAAAGACAAACTAAAACAATGCACTGCTCTCTCCAAAGGGGACAGAGAATGATAGAAATATTGTGCACATTTCTCCACTTCCTCTTAAGTCTTCTATTCCTATTATCTCTTACCTGGATTGTCCAGCTCCTGAAGAACATACACATGTTTGAAATCCACAGAATTCTTGTGTTTCTCAGTGCCATAAAACACAACACTCAAGAGGTCTCGATCACTACTAATGATCTTGCTGGTATACACATTCCGGATGCACTTGAAAGAAAACAGCAGAATCAGGAAGAAAGGAGAAAGTTATCTGAAGAAATGGTGATAGTGTTCTACTATTGGCAATAGGGATGTGAATGGTTAACTGTTACCCGAGAGCAGCCCCTCACCTGCAATCCCTAGTTGGAATCAGCAGTTCATACTAGGGATGTTAAATATCAGTTAATTGAAAAGTTGAGTAACCTCATGCATTCTTGTCGGTTAGCTGACTATTCTATAGTATCCAGGGGGTAGGGCCAGCAGCCAGTGTGCTCTGGCTCCACTCCTAAGGAGCCCCCTGCCACTCCATGCAGCTGCCTCTGTATCTGCATCTGGACCAGCAGCCCTCTGATAAAAAAGTAGCAGTACAGCATGGCAGCAGCCCATCCGGGGGTGGGGTGGGGTGTCTGAGCTCCCGGACCTGGCACAAGATGCAACTGAGTTGGGCTGCCTGTCCATCCAGCTCCTAATACATTTTAAATGCAGAGGTAGGTTCTGGACCCAGCAGAAGCCAGGACTGAACTAGTCTGTTGGCCAGCCTGCTACAAAAATTTACTGGCAGCGGGGGGAAAAGGGGGAAAAATGCGTGTAGTCTATATCATTAACCTATAAGCTTTTGCTTATCGGTTAATCAACAACACTATTACATCCCTAGTTCATAATGGTAATGCCACAGTCTGCCACAATGTTTTGAGCCACAATTCATAATAAACTAATAATAACATAATAAATGGGATATTTATGACTACATTTGAATACTAAGTATTTTTAATTATAATTCATTTTCTGCGGAGGAGAGAAACATTTCCTAGAGATGCTACTCTATAAATTCATTCCTCATTTTGTAAACACAACCATCACCAAAACATTGGGGTTTGACTTCGGAATGTAATAGTTTAACCAATAAGCATCAGCATATCGGATCTGACTGTGGTTAAATTCTTCTGCTCTCCCAGCCCCGCTCCGGATTAAGGCTTATACTGCAGAGCCCACAGTGCAGCCAGCTTCCCAGAAATAGGGCCAGCATCCGGGTGGCAGTGCACACTGGGAGCCAGCTTGTTAGCTGGCTCCCAGCATGCACCAGGTCCACTCCCAGGGAGTGGGGCCGGTGCCAGTTTACACTATAAGCTGGCTCCTGGGGAGCCAGCTGCGCGGCAGGCTCTGCAGTATAAGCCTGATCACCTATACTGCAGAGCCTGCAACATAGGTAACTACTAGAATGTATAATGGTTACACAGTTTCTTTTTTAAAACCTTTTTTACATCTCTAGTGTGACAACATATGAGACCTTTCCCACTCACAACCACTACTGTTGCTACAGAATGATTTCTGATTTTCACACCATAAAAAATGGTGTTCTGAAATCATGGTGATGAGGAATATATAAATAGATAAAGCAGACAACTAACTACACTAGCTATATTATAATGGATAAGAAAGCTGCATATATGCAACTCAAAGCACCTTGAGATATTACAGTCTACGAGATACGTTATTATTAATCTATAACACATGATCTTACCTGGATTGTCATATCAAAAGGAGTGCACTCATCATCATCATCATAATATTCAAACATGGCCTTGGAAGCATCAACTAAAAAAATCAGGCTGTCTCGACCTGAATATTTATATTCCCCTGAAGAAGAAAAAAGTATAGTTTTATGATTGGCTGTATCTTTCCCAACCCCCACTTAATGTAAGCACCCATGCTATTTGTGCTCTGTAATATCAGCAAATGTGAGGAGTGGCATAAGTAGCCAAAATTCATCCACAAGAGAGTATTAACAACATGGGATTTTGTAAGAACAAAAAGGAAACAAGCTAAAGAGATCTTCAGAATTGTGCCTGAAGTAGAGGACTCCATTGCTGAGAGGAAGAAAGCAGGATCACATTCTTTAACTTTTTAGTTAAAGGTTAAAATCTTACCACCCGTTTCAACTTCTTCATGATATTCTTCCTCATCCTCATCCTCCTCATTTTTGTAGTAAGACATCCATTCTGACATGGCTGCAGTCTGCTTTAAAAAAAAAAAAAAAAAACACCACCACATGAGGCAGGTGTTTGTATTGACCTTGGGTAGGAGGACCCTCCAAATTACTGGTCAGTGAGTCAGGCACTAATTAAGAGTTACTACAGTCTGGTCCACACTTAATTAAGACTGACCTAGCTACAACTGCTGAGTGTGGTAGTTATGGAGATCTACCCTCCCCCTCGCATCCCCAGTGTAGATATAGCTAAGGTTTGGCACACACTAGGGATGCTAAAATCCATTTTAATGTGTAACCACTGAAAATTTCAGCAGTTACATGCAGGGCAGCAGACTGCTTGGGAGCCACTGAGTGCATGGAACTGGCTTTTAAACCAGCTTCCCCACCCACACAGGCTCCCACCTCCCCTGCCACCTCTGTTGAAGGATTGTCATTTTCCCCAAGAGCTGGTATGTGCACCTGTATCTAACTATGAAGGCTAACCAATGAACCCATGCTCATTGGTTAATCACATACATACTTACATTTTCACCTCCCTAGTGCACGCTACAGGGTTAGGTGGCTTATGTCAACCGAACTTCTGTAAGTGTCCACATCCAATGTTGCTCCCATCAATGCAAAGCACCTGGCTTAATAACTTCTCCACAAGATGCATAGCACTTAGGTCAGCAGTGAGCAATCTAGGCTAATGAGGGGGCACTAGCAGCCCTCCATCTCAGTGGGTCATAAGATTGTCATAATCAAGACCATCTCATGGGATAGGGTAGTTTTGCTAATTGTGCTTGCCTACCTAGAATTTGTGGGGTGTACCAATTGAACTGTAGCAGCAGTTTGGATACAGAAGGGCTATGTCTACACTGGCGCGCTCTTGCACAAAAGCGGCCGCTCTTATGCAAAAACTTGCTGCCTGTCTACACTGGCCGTGTGTTCTTGCGCAAGCAAACTGACGTTCTAACGTATGAAATCAGGGCTTCTGACACTCCCGCTCAGGAATAAGCCCTTTGTGCAACTGTTCTTGTGCAAGAGGCCAGTTTAGACAGGCAACATGACTGTCTTGCGCAAGAAAGCCCTATGGTTAAAATGGCCATCAGAGCTTTCTTGCGCAAGAGAGCCTCTACACTGACATGTATGCTCTTGGGCAAAAGCACATGCCAGTGTAGACGCTCTCTTCTGGAAGAGTTTTTGCACAAAAGAGTTCTTGCACAAGAAACTGCCAGTGTAGACATACAGGAGTCCATGGCTCCCACAGTCACGGTGCACAATCAGTATACACCTGACTACACATGGCCTTACAATATCACTTTAGTAATATTGAGGGGGAAAAAAACTATCCAGACAGAAAATAGCAGAACGTGCAACCCTAAGCATGGGCAACAGTAAACAAAATATCTCTTTGGCTGCAGGTAGACTCCTAATGGGATGCAGAAGATCAGCAGGCGGCAGGTTACCCACCACTGGCTGAGGTCCATTTAGGGTACATGCAGTGTCACCACAGACATGGCTCTCAGCCGGGTAATGACCCAGGCGCTGAAGTCAGTGGAAACGCAGCGCGGGCATCAACCCCCACAGCAATTATTGCAGTGGATGCACCCTGCACTCACTTAGATCGGATTTGACTTTGGAAGCGCCCATTACAGCAGCGAAGCCACCAGCGGGACGCCGCGACAGCCTGGCGGAGCAGGAAGCGGCTGCGCCCGCCACGCGCGGGTGCAGAATCCGGGAGGGAGGGGGAAGCTCAACCACGTGCCGTTCACCAGCGCGGGGAGGGCGCGCGACGCAGCGCGAGCTGGCGGGATAACGGGCGGGCTGCACCGGCCGCGCGCCAGCGGAAGGGAACGAGACACGCCCACTCGCTCGCTGGGTTCGAACCAGCTCGCGACCCGCCCTCTGGCCCCGGGCTGCAGGCCCCGGCCCGGCCTGCCCTTGCCGGAGGAGATCGGACAACTTGCAGCGGCACTAGGGGGCGGGGCGAGAGGCGGCGGTAACACCCGCTCCCGCCCGCAGAGGGAAACCAGGACCCAGCGGCGCGAGGGCGGGCCCGGCCCGGCCCCGCAACCCCCTGAGCGAATGGATCGGGAGAGAAGGAGGAGGGGCGCCAATGGCTCCTACAACGAATCGGCTCCGCAGCGGGAACAAGCGCCTCGCCATTACCTCAGCCTGCCGCACCGCTCCGAACCCGGATCCCCGCCCGTCGGCTAGTATCAGGACCCCACCCCCGGAAACAATCCCACCCAATCCTGCGAAAGGAGGTGGCGCCCGAGGGAAACCACGCCCCCATGCGGTTGCCTGAGAGGAAGCCACGCCCGAAACATTCTATTCCCCCCGCCCCCCCAGCACCGGCAGCTCAGCTCTGGGTTACAGCCCCGCCCACTCACCGCCCAGAAAAAGCTCCCCTCACAGAGCCAATAACGGGCCCGCCCTTAACTCCGCCCCCTTTCCTTTTGCACCGCCTGATGAAGTAACACCTCCCCGTAGCAAAAGCCCCGCCTCCTAACGGCACAGCCTCACCCCGTTCTATCTGTAGCTCCGCCTCCCTAGCGGCGCCGGGTTCCATCGCGGCACAGTGACTAGCCGCCCGCCCGGCCGGTCTATGGCTGTGGCGCATGCGCAGAAAGAGCGTTTTTCCTTCCGCCTCCTCTGTCACCTCACAGTTGGTGCCGCCGCCGCTGGTGTGGACTCAGGAGTAACGGGGCCGGACGGGCTCCCCCTGGCCGAACCCTCCCCCCCCCGCCCTCCACCGGACAAGGAGCCTCCTAGTCCCTCTCAGGCCCTTATACCGCCAGGGGCCCGTCCCCCCCTGGAGTCGACGCCCGCCCTGCACCCGGTGAAGCTCTATGTCTACGACCTGTCCAAGGGCATGGCCCGGCGCCTCAGCCCCCTCATGCTGGGTAAGGGGCCGGTCCGAGGCAGGGCGGTGGGGAGGGGCCCGTGAGGCCGCAGGATGGGGCGAGGGGAAGCGGTGGCCCGGGCAGGTGGAAGCGGGGGGACGGGACGGTTGTGCCCTGCAGGGAGTGTCCTGGCGGCTCCTCGGCTGCTCTGGAGGCTAGTCACTGGGCAGCTTCCCGAGGCGCAGTCATGCATGTCCCGCCAAAGTGCAGGCAACAGCAGAGCGCTCCCCCCCCCCCCGAATGGACATGGAGTTGATCACCGTGATTATAAAGCGGGGGGAGGGGCAGTGGCCCGGCCTTTATCTAAAAACAGATTTTCAAGGCAGCATGGATTCCCCCCTCCCTCTCCTTTTTGACGGCACAGTAAGTTCCCCAGATCCTAACGGTGCAACACTGCAGATAAAATCATGTTAGGGTGGTACTGATCCTGTTTTAGAATATGCTGGAGTATAGATATTTATTTTCAAGCAGTTTATAAAGTTCTGTTGTAGAAGTACTGAACAGCACCTTGGGCAGCATCCCAAGTAAAATGCTGCACTATATTATTACACTCATGCATCTAAAGAGTAGCTCCTGGAAGTGTATGATTACTACTTGACAGCTTTCTCACAAACAATCTTAGATCTTCCTGTCTCGGATCTATAGGTGTGAACTTTATGAGTAAAGGAGGTGGAGCCCCTTTGCTAATCTTTTGAAATGCTCCATTACCAACTTTAATATGGTAAATTTAATCATATCAGTTTGGCTGATGAGTGATGTCAAACTTTTGGAAGCGTTTTTGTCCTGGATCAGATCAATTGTACCCAACTTGCTGACACCCAAAGTGTACCATAACTTTCTTCCAGGTGTGGTGAATTTAGGGGCATAAGTAACTATTAAAATGTGCATGGGGAAAAACAGACAGTATCTTCAGTTTTAAAATAGTTTGTTGTGAGGATTACTTGGTTGTTATGGAACTTGCCAAAAAGTAGGTCTGTTATATGAGCTCTCCACTAGGAAATTTCTCTGTTCTAGGAGTTACTAATCAGACAAACTACTTTGAGGGACTGGAAAAGATGGAAAAGATGTACAGGGTGGGTATTTTGTACCAGACAGGGACTGAACACTGGTTGGGCTTGTGAAACTGATGCTCTCTTTAGTATTTTCTTCTCTGAAATTTTATTCTTGGAGTTAGCAAGTATACTTGTTGACATTGAGACAGAACTTTCCGTCCTTGTAGCAAACCATTTTATGACCCTATACAGCTGGTTAAAATCTGTTAGTAGGTGTAGTGTGTGAAGGATTGTGTTTTACTCCTTTGTCTATAACTTTTTAAAATGGGACTATGGGAGATAATTTCAGTTTCCCTTTGGTATGAGTGGAAAACTGGTTCCTGACCATAAGGACTTTCCTTATGGGAAAGATTGAATGGGAACAAATATTTTTCACCCATTGCAATATCACTGATCTCTAACTGGTTGATACTGAACTGAGACTCCTGCTTGTGGTGTAGACTAGATCACCTAGCCTTCCAGTCTGGCTGAAATAGTTTATGGCTTTCACTGTCAACTCTCTTACCAAGAACTTGTCCTTTGTCAACTGATCAATGGTTTAATGAATCTGAGGAATTGAAGCTCTTGTGTGCAGTTTCTGAAGTTTGAAGCAGCCTTCTAGGAAGAGGAAGACCTATAAACTTTCTTTTACAGAGTCCATCAGATGTCCAGCTAACAGTGTATGAGATCAGCCTTCCCAGCTGCTTCACCAACTGTATTGCCCTATGGACTGTGTGAATGGCGGGCAGTAATGTCATCTGCCTGTCCTAAGAGAAGGATGTTATGCTTTCCTGTGGCTTTTTAAAAATAAAAAATGAAAGCCTGCATTGTATTCAGCATGCAAACTCATATGCTAACAATGAGTTTGTGAGTTTGAGATCCTAAGCAATTCTGTCTATATATGACAGACAGAAGCAGCAGTTTTAAGAGGCATGCAGTCCATTGTCCTCAGCCACTGAATACCTTCAAAGTAATAAGAGACTTATTTCTCTCTTCAGACTCTCTTCCATTGTACCAGCAAGGGTGAAACTTTCTCTTGTAATAGTGATTGTTTTATCTTGGGCTGGGGGGGGGGATATAAATAGTATTCTAAAGCCTAGTTTATACACACATTTAGTTAAATAATTGCAAATGTGGGGAAAATGTAGCTAAATCAACTTTTGCCATGCTTATTTTGGAATAAGTGTCTACCCACAGGCTTGTACTGAAAACTAAACAGATGTTCGTTCATGTCTTTTGTTATTACAATGCAAATTCATATATAGACCAAATCAAAGTATTCTAACCCTGGTATGACATAGGGTACCAGTCTTAGTACTGTATTTTGCTACTTTCTGAGTTTCTGCATGAGGCATTTAGCACTTACTATTGAGGGAAAAAATTAAGTAAAGAATAAGACATATGTTATGATTTTCACAATACCAACTAATTGCAAAACATCGTGCTTGAAAAACAGATCTAAGTTTGTAGGAGTTTGCAGAAAGGAGGAGAAAACCTACAAATTGGAACAGAGTTCACAGTTGTGTGGAAAGTACTGATTGCTTACTAGTGATGGTTAATAACTAGCTGAGATTGGACAAATTGTAATGAGTTCTGGGAATAAAGCCCACTAGGCTGCTTGGTGACAGTGACAAGGCAAACTACAGAATATTTAGGATCATATATATTTTGTGATTAGATTGTCTAATAAGATCTTGGTTTTTATTCTTTGAGTGATAATAGTGCGAGCTCCCCATTGCCATAGCTGACCTCAGTGGTTTTCCATAGATATCCCCAAAGTAAGCACATGGGGAAAAGTGTCTTCTTTCCCTTAAATACACCCCATTCCCCTTTTAAGTGGTCACAAAAGCTCTTTTGGCATTACTCAGACTGACTTTTATAGGAGGATCTCATAGAGTCAATAGCTTTTGTTTCTTTGTAGCCTAAAGAAGTTCAGATGTGAGACTCTTAAGCATCATGGAATACAAAAACAGATAAAAATTAGAAATAATTTATTAGATTATTTCTAAATCCTCATCATCCCTAGTCAATCCAGGATTACACCTTTTAGTATCTTCTTTGCTTTACCCAGTTTAACTCTAACAATGTGACTTTCACCTCTTTCTTTGATATGATTCTTCATAATGCCACCTCCTTAAAATACAAATCCTTTTAATTTTTAAAAAAATTTCCTTTTTAAATGTAAAGTGACAAATAGAGGACCAAAAAGTTCTTAAGGTGTTTTAGATGAAGGAAAGAATGAAATGAGATGAATAGCAAAGGGAAGCAGATTCTGTATCACAGAGCCTATTGCAGCAAAGACATAATTGCCTGCCAATTTCAGACAGGCTAGAGGAATCCTGAAGTACTAATGGGTACTGTGTTAAGATGAATCAGTACCAAGCTCAAGAATCAGTCTCTCATCCCTCAGATATTTAGAGAAAGTTCTATAAGGTAGCTGAATGCTTGGACAATTCTAGATTTCCATAGCATTATTGAAACAGATGGTATAGTGGCTTAATCATATCCTTTGGCCACATACAGATTTCCTTCCCTTGGTCTATTTTTTGATGTTGCTCTTCCCTGAATTTCCTTCCAATCTGCTAGACACTGTGTAGTTTCTACAGCATCTTGGGATTATCACCCTCCTTAAATGCTGTTGCACTTTTGGACAGCACATACATCTAATTTGCTGTCTTCTGTTGCTCTTCCTTCAGCCTTTGGGATGTGCTTTGAGTAGTTTAGCATAGCCAACTAAATTGACTTTAAAACAGTACAATACAAAATGTTCACTAATGGGAAAGAAGTGGCAGTTACATTCTTTGGATGTTTGGTTTTATCTTTCCAAGAAGGGGTGAGGGCAAAAGAGAAGTGGAAGTTGAGCTATTTCTAACACACTGATTATGGACACGCTTCTGTGATATAAAGAGAGATCCACGGTGAGGATTAATGTACCATCTCTTCAGCACTGGCACAAGTTTTTCAGGGGCCTATCCAAATAAAATGTTCAGATATTCAAGGCCTCTTCTAACTTGCCCCCCTCCTATACCTGAACTGATGGCACTGACTCATGGGTGAGATGTGTATGCATGGGATCCTGTATGAATGGAACACTAAATTGCAGCATGCGGCAAAAGCTGTCACTGTGAAAATCAGTCAGGAGTATACATTAGTTGGAACTGTTCTCAAGGGAATATTCAACCAGCATTACTATCCTTTCCACCCCACCTAGCCGTAAAGACTCTGTGAGCAGGGGATAGTTCAATTTAAGTGGCAGTTATCTCCCGCCTTTTCTCTCTCATTCACCATTCAGTTTCTCATGATTCAAGACAGCAGGATGGTTACTGAGCAATACTGTATCGCTTTGTCTCAAAGCATCTGCTAAAGAGGATTATTTGCAAATGAAATACTCCATTCTTTTCCCACACACCCTGTTTTCCAACACACTCAGCCACCTCTGGGATTGAGGCTAAGATTCAGACTCTTCACTCCCTTGGTTGGCATTATGCTGTAGTTTGACTAAGTAGGGCAATAGTCTTTCAGAACTGGGGTGGATTTTCTAAGTGACTAAAAATGCTGAAGTTAATAGCATTTTATTTCCTTGCCATCCAACTGAGGGAACAGGTGTTGTTCTGTTTTGTGCCAGTGTAGGTGCCAGATATGCATCACAGTCTGGCTGTTTGGTATCCTGAGTAGTAGCCGTCTCCTTATATAATCCTTTCATGTTATCACCAGTACCCTGCATTTGGCTTTGATTAATCCAGACAAACTCCACTTTTATTTGGGATTTTAAAAACCTGTACGTGCATACACTATCCCCTAAACCTCAATATTAATAAATTAACTGTACTCACAAGATGTATTCCCAGCCATCTAATCTTCCCACTACTTGGCCTTCTGGATAAACCCAGGCATGGAAGTAATCTGGTTTGATTAGATTCTAAAATTATACAGGCTCAGTTTCTACTCTAAAAGTGACCTTGTGTCCTACCTATGAGTCTCTGTCCTAGCTTAGTCATAGAATAAGTAAATAAAGTCTAGTAATTCTTCAAATTCCTATAGTATAACCTATTCTCTTGCCCCCATAAATAGTGTTTAGTTTGGCAAGATAGCTATTTGAAACAGAAAACTTTTTGAAAAATAAAGTAAAAAAACAAAAACTATGCAGGCTCCCAAATCACTTAGACATTCATTCTGCAAAATATTTAAATGTGTGCATACTTAAAGATATGTATATACTTAAGTATCTTGTTGAATCAGTGCCTAAAAGTCTATCAAATTGCTTAGCCCTAAATTAGTAAATTTTGTAAAAAAGCAACTTACTGTCAAAATGTGCTTAATTCTGATATTTTGGGGGTATATTCGAGCTAAATAACAGCACAGAACATTGAGAGCCAGGACCAGTGACTGTAAACAGACTTTATGGGATCATGAGAAACTTGGCCACACCCATGAAAAGTGGACATCCGGCTAACTAAAATAATTCTGGATGATAAATATTTCTGAATGAGAGAGTTCTGGATTTGAGAGGTTCAACCTGTAGTGATGAGAACTTGATTTTAAAAACATTTCCAATTTAGGAATCTAAGGCATTAACACATGTAAAGAATGATTTAAAACATTTTATCTTGACATCCTCTCGGTTTAACAGAGCAAGTTTTTGAGAGAGAATTACCATAGAAAAATCCCATTGTAGAAAACTAGTTCCTTCTTCTCAAACTTGCTGCCAGAATTCTCTCTATAAACTAACAGCTGAAGTTTGTTATCTGTACTGCTTTTAGGCAGAGACATCACCAGTTTCCAGAGAAAACACTGAATTCTGAACTATGTTCCTGACATGAGTGAAGGAGGAAGTTATTTTTATATTTAGTTTCAAGATGTAAATATTTGTAACTTTTTAAGCTATCCTATCCTGTTTCTTAAAAGTTATACAGTTCATCTTTGAAAGGGACACATTATTGGGTTCTCTTTCAAATAAATTATTATTTATCTTTAGTAATGCACATAGGGGTCCAATTATGTTGGGTGATATACAAATGTAAGAATAGACGCTATATATATAATTACCCATTGTCACTCTCCAACTCCTCTTTCACTGATTCAAATAAATTTCCATGTATTGGTTTATAGTCGCTTTCTAATTAGCTTACTGAGGCAGAAGATTTCCATGTTTCTAAATGAGCTAGGGGTGTAATACTGTAGTCGATAAACCAATAAGCAAAAACTTATTGGTTAGTGCTATAGACTACACATATTCCACTTTAGGCAGAGACATCACCAGTTTCCAGAGAAAACACTGAATTCTGAACTATGTTCCTGACATGAGTGAAGGAGGAAGTTATTTTTATATTTAGTTTCAAGATGTAAATATTTGTAACTTTTTAAGCTATCCTATCCTGTTTCTTAAAAGTTATACAGTTCATCTTTGAAAGGGACACATTATTGGGTTCTCTTTCAAATAAATTATTATTTATCTTTAGTAATGCACATAGGGGTCCAATTATGTTGGGTGATATACAAATGTAAGAATAGACGCTATATATATAATTACCCATTGTCACTCTCCAACTCCTCTTTCACTGATTCAGGGGGCTCCTCAGGAATGGGGTTATAGTCGCTTTCTAATTAGCTTACTGAGGCAGAAGATTTCCATGTTTCTAAATGAGCTAGGGGTGTAATACTGTAGTCGATAAACCAATAAGCAAAAACTTATTGGTTAGTGCTATAGACTACACATATTCCACCACCACCCCCAGTAAATTTTTTAGCAGGTTGGCCAGCAGCCCAGCTCAGTCCTGGTTTGCGACAGAGGAAGTTATTTTTATATTTAGTTTCAAGATGTAAATATTTGTAACTTTTTAAGCTATCCTATCCTGTTTCTTAAAAGTTATACAGTTCATCTTTGAAAGGGACACATTATTGGGTTCTCTTTCAAATAAATTATTATTTATCTTTAGTAATGCACATAGGGGTCCAATTATGTTGGGTGATATACAAATGTAAGAATAGACGCTATATATATAATTACCCATTGTCACTCTCCAACTCCTCTTTCACTGATTCAGGGGGCTCCTCAGGAATGGGGCAAAGGACTATAGAATAGTCAAGTAACTGATAAGAATTCATGAGGTTACTTGACCATTCAGTTAACCGATATTTAACATTCCTAAAATGAGCTGAGACCAAAGTTGTTGGGTTTTTTCATTTCATTTTCTGAATTCATTTTTCTTTGCAACAAGAAAACTTTAACTGTGGCTGCTGGCTGAATTCACAAACTGGATAAGACGGTATATTAAAAACAACTGAAAATTGGTAATTATAATTTTAAAACCCATTTAAATTTCAGCCCTATACTTAATATTTTTGAGAAGAGATATTGGGAATGAACTACAGATCCTTCACCTCTAAGTCACCAGTTTCAATCTGTCCCTTTATTGGTAGTGATTGAAAAGGGAAATTTAATTATTATATGATGTTTCTATAATGGCCTATGTAAAATTGGTATGAAACTACTCGTACAGCTGGTACGAACTGAGCATCTTTTTTGGTAATCTTAGGCTACGTCTACACTGCACAGTTATTTTGAATAAGCTATTCCAGCATAGAATAAGAGAGAATAGCCCTGATGAGGGGCTATTTTGAAATATTAGCAGTGGAGCATCTACACACGCCTTATTTTGAAATAGCTATTTTGGAATAGGCGTTGTTCTTCATAGAATGAGGTTTATAGACGTCGGAATAAGCCATCTGTTATTTTGAAACTATTTCGAAATAACATAATTGCTGTGTAGACGCTCCCATAGTTATTTCGGAATAACATCCGTTATTCCAAAATAACTTCTCTGTGTAGACACACCGTTAGAGACCAAAGACTGACTGGGCTACTGAAATGGCATTCTCGTCTTTGCCTAAGAAGCAGACCCATTCAGGATTAGGACTCTGTATGTTGGCAGGGAAGTGTGGCATTGCCAATTCCTCATGCAAATAAACAGATAAATTAAGTCACCAATGCAGAAAATGTGGCACCATTCACTGGCATCATAACTAAATGAAAAAAAGGCTGTTTTTCGGATCCTTTGCAGTACTGGCTATCAATCTCCCTAGACTACTGTACCCATTTCAGAAATCTGATTTGTTTTACGTACCCCCAGATTTTACTTAAATTTCTTGCTCATAAAATGAGACATAAAAATACAAGTCACAACCACACTAGTACTGACAAATTGCTTTCTTTTTCATTTGTACCATATAATTATAAAATAAATCAATTTAAATATACATACTATACCTACATTTCAGTATCTAGTATACAGAACAACATAAACAATTGTCTATGAAATCTTACTTTGTACTGACTTTACTAGATCGTTTTAACGTACAGGTCGTCCTCACTATAAATCTAAGAAACGTTCCAAAAAACTTGGACTTATAGGAAAACAACTTAAAGCGAGCAATTTTTTTCCATGGCTGACTTCCATTTCTACAAATTGGTTTGTTTTGGGGTTTTTTTGCGCAACTTAAGAGCAGGGGAAATGGAGGACTTATAACGCATCAGTTCCTACAAGAGTCAATGACTTTAGTGTGGAACGGATGTATACCAGGGCAGCTTATAGCGGGGACGCCTTTGCGTCCCCCCAAATGTATGCATATCTCTTGTTAGAACCACCACTTTAGAAAAATATAACTTTAGCACTAAACTTGCAGCTTGGGGTTAAAGCAAGATATGGAAATAAGTGAGAGATACATGGGTGAATGACAGCAAGTAGACTGAGCTGTGTAAAGGAAGTTGCCAATGACTCTCTCCTTCTCTCTACCTACAGGGAAACAGCTAGATGGAATCTGGTAAGTGACTAGATTTAACCTGCATAATATGTTAGACACTGGGTACCATTTTCAGTATGGTATTATAAATGTTTTAGATCTGAAGGAACATACCTGTGCTGAACAGAGACTGAGGTACTTCCTGAAAGTTTTTAGAGTTAGTGGGAGAGAGATCGATAGCATTGTGTTAGGTATTGTGCAAGTCTGCTTTCAATTCGTGCCAATGGACCTCAATGCAAACAATAATTGTTATTACATATTTTATTGCAGTAGCACCCAAAATGTATTGGGTATTTTTCAAACATAGGAGGACATTGTTTCTGCCCAAACAGTTTAGGTTCTGATTGTAGACGTGAGCGCACCAACAGCAGGTGCAGAAATAGGATGACTGCAGACAAAGGTTACAAAAATAGAACTGCATGGTTTCATAGTAGTTATGTGTACCTCTTGTTAGAAAATATGTTTTCCAATTGATGCCCAATTCACTGAAGTCTCCAGCCAGAATTAAACACTCCCTTGGCCAATGTCTTCTATCTTCCCTCACTAGTCAGCCACCACTGCCCTTCCTCATCCAGCTGCCCCACTCACTGTTCAACCCTTTTTCAGTTCCCATCATCCAGCCATCCTCTCTGCATATGGTGACTCTGGGCAATTCATGCCCCAACCTTTCCCAAGTTTTTAATTCACAGGGGAAGTTTTGTCCCTCAAAGCATATTGCTGGAAAAGGGCAACTGTTGGAGGGTCTTCTCTCATGCCTTCTGCTATCTGAGTATCATGGTGGTGCTGGTTGAGTCATTCTCTCCCATCTGCAGTGTAGCATGAGGTTTGTTAACCAATTAGGGATGTAAAAACTGCCCAGAACAGTTAACTAGTTAAATCAGTGGTCCCCAACGCAGTGCCCGTGGGTGCTCTGGTGCCCGCCGGGGCATTTATGTGCGCCCGCCAAATCATCTGAGCCAGCCCCACCCCCGGCGTGCGGCACATATGCGGTGCTGCCCCCTGGCGCAGGGCACGTGGGCAGCCTCAGCCCTGGGCACGCGGCACATGCGTGGCCCCGCCCCCAGGCGCTTGGCAGCCCACAAAGGTTGGGGACCACTGAGTTAAATTATTTGTTTAACTGGTTAACCACTGACTGGGGGGGGGCTGTTGCTTCTCCATTTGCAGGAGGCAGGTGCTGCTCCTTCCCCACCATGGCCAAGTTGTGGACAGCGAGGGCTGTTCCAGATCCGCTGTGGCCCTGTTGACTGGGTAGATGTTAGCAGGGGGAGTTTCAGGTTAGCTGGTAAGCATGCTGGTAAGACATATGCTTGCTGGTTAACCCATTTCCTAGTTAACCTTTAACATCTCTATAACCAACATGACCATTTTTCTTCTAGTTAGTGACCCAACAGACATTATTCCCACTCATAGAAGGGCCTTAATTTTTTCTCGACTATTACTAAATTATTTGTTTCAATAATACCTTAGGCAACATGTACTACAGTTGTAACTTTTCATCCACTCTTATGAGTGGTTTATATGCTGGTTTAAATATTTCTTCCTCTTCATTTCATATGGCTTTCTTTTCATGTCTCCTTGCCCTCCCTCAACAGGCACACTTCCATAATTGTCCATAAGGATGAGTTCTTCTATGGCAGTGGTGGGATTTCCAGCTGTGCACCTGTAAGTTCAACCTTCCTGAGACTTTTTCCTAACTCTATTATCTTCTCTTCCCAAATGGTTTCTTGATGAAGATTACTTTCTCTAATCAAGAACACCCTGTGTTTGTTCTTTAGGAAAAGAACATAAGCTTATTTAGTCTTAAAAGATTGCTTGATGCAGCCAGGTTAGGTACTGAAGACCATGCTGACAGGTCAACTGGGGAAAATAAAACCTGCATAATGGGTTTGGTCCCAACCCTAAGTTAAGGTTTACACCAGCCAGAGTTCAAAACAAACTATTGGGCTCCCTGCGCTCAGCATTCTGGGAAGGCAGAAGCTTCCTGCAACTCAGCTACGCAAAGCTTCATTGGTTTTTACACTTTGATCTTGGTGATTCACAGTATTTAAAACACACACACTGACTACCTTGACATTCTCTCTAGTTCTCGGGTAGTCTGAGCCTAAAGTTAATCTTCTGAAAGTCCCTTAAAACATAGGTCTGCCCCACACTTCTGGAACATGGAGTACTCAGCAGCAAGCTACAGAATAAGCCCGATGACGTATCTTGCACCCCTCATTCTGTAACAGAGGAGAGCGGAGGACTGAATAGTTTGCTCTGAATTGGATACTGTAATTCCTTTCATTGCTCCTGGACAAACCATATTATGTCAGAATCATTCTGGACTACAGGAATACCCTTGGAGTACTCCATCAAAATCCATTCTAGCATCGTCTCTTGCTTGTGTTTTTCACAGGGAGGGACATTGCTTGGGCCCCCAGATTCAGTTGTAGACCTGGGAAGCACAGAAGTTACAGAAGAAATTTTCTTGGAATACTTGTCCTCACTAGGAGAATCCATGTTCCGGTGAGTTGCAGCTTTTATTTGGTTGTAACATTTCTGTGTTTAAAAAAAAAATAAAAAAAAATAGAAAAAGAAAATTGTGGGGGGATTCTGGGGCCTGTCTCACTAACACAATGCTTCACGTGCCTACTATTCCACTTAGTACTATCCAATTAATAAAAGTAATAATGAGGCTAGAACTGGCACATGATCACTTGCAAGTTACGGAACATTTGGGTGGATCCAGGCCTTTAGAAAAGCTGGAAAAGCATTCTGTTAGAATGCCTGCATCACTGGATCTTGAACCCTATTTGTTATTGACAGCGAACAAAGTTTTGCCTGGTAGGTATTGGATGAAATCATGGAAGATGTAAGTGATGGAGGAAATAGTGTTGGTTCAGTAGCGATTTTTACCCTGCAAGTCACTACTGAAGCATTTGTGCTGGAGCTGCCATCTTTCAGATATTGAAAACAAAGGTTCTGACTAGGGATGTAAGCAACTAATTGACTAGTAGACTATCCAATAGCAAAAGCTTATTGGATAGTTGACTAGTTGCTGCCTCTATCAAAAAGAGACAGAAGGGGGGGAAGTGGTGGAGGTGCTGGAGGGAGCTGGCTTAAAGCTGGTTGCCCCCAGCTCCAGTTCTGTGGGAGGCGGTAGGGCAAAAGTGGCAGCCAACTTTGAAATGTACAAGAGCCCCTGCTGGGGCTCTTGTACATTTCAAATCAGAAGCGCCCACATGGAGTCTGAGGTCAGTGGGGAACTCCCGGTGGCCCCAGGCTCCATGCAGCGTTTCAATCTTTGAAATGCACAAAGGTGGAACGTGCTAGTTCTTATCAACTAATCAAATAGTCGAAGAAAATCCCATCAACTATTTGGTTAATTGAAATTTAACATCCCTAGTTCTGACTTTTTTGTGTTCATTAGCAAACCCAGAGCACTTTTCACAAAACTATTTAACAATAAACTTAGTGTCCTAGTGAAATTCCAGCCTCAGCAATTACTCTGATCTACTATTTCTTCTGTAACTTCAGGCAAAAAATTTGGTCCTCACTTCACCAAAAGGCTATTGTGTAGTGTCAGTGATGTGGAATGGCTGTCATGTTCCATCCCAAACTTAGCTGAGTTTGAGAGGAAGGGGCTTCTGTGTGTTGTCTAAATTGCTTTAGGATTCTTTAGAATAAAGGGTGCTTATATAATTGATTACTGGTTTGACTTTTTCTTGCTGTATTTATTCCTGTGTTTGAACTTCTTTCCTGGGTACAGAGGAGAGTCTTATAACCTCTTTGAACACAACTGCAATACCTTTAGTAATGAAGTGGCACAGTTCCTGACAGGAAGAAAGATACCTTCCTACATCACTGACCTTCCATCTGAAGTCCTTTCCACGTGAGTACAGTCTTTGCTTCTGTGTGTAGTATGTTGCTTCATGCTAATGCCTGAATATTTCCTGTCACATCTAGTAAGCTCTAGATGAGGACTGGTACCTGCTGTTATCAGGGGGAGAATGCCACTTCATTTATTTGGGAATTTGTGTCTGACAGTCTCCACCCCACAGACATGACTGGCACTCTTTTCACAGGGGAAAGGTGGAAAATTGTTCTTTTCTTCTGCCATCAATGGATGTAAACTAACTGCCTCCTCATGGGCTTTTTTATCTATCACTTGACAAGCTATATACGAGGTCAGAGCCATTTTAAAGCCAGTGGCTACAGATACTAGTACCTCTGAGTCACATTTCCTGCCCCGGAGGACCATCACTATGTTGAGGCTTTCCACAGTGCCCTAAGGGAGGGGAAACTTTAAGGTTGCTTTTGAGACACTTTTAAAAGCAAGGCCTGGATGGAAGGAGAGGAAGCAGAAGAGAGGAGATAAGTGAAAGTTCTATAACATCCCTTCTTGTCACAACTGAGATTTTAGAACTCTCTCAGAGGCTACTCAGACTCCCTTGGTATGTTCCTTTAGTTGAGTCAGTATGGAGAGCCCAGGCAGATGTTTGGAACTGCAGCATCCAGTTCTCTTCTCACAAACTGCACCATACCTGATTGACACACACAGGTTGGTTGGTAGAACAGTTTCTTCTATACTGGACTATAAACAAAGCTAAGCAAAGACAGATCCACTGTAAACTTGAATAGGAGACCTTCAAGGAAAACTCAGATGTCACAGGATTCTGTAGGGATTAATCAGTGAATACTGATCCATTGTTGTACAGGCATGCTAGAGATTGTTCTGTTGTCAGATGCCATCTTTCAGATGAAATATTTAAGGTTTGGATAGTTGTGACCATTAGCAATCCCGTGGCTCTTTTTCCAATATTATTGATGACAGTCACTGTCTTTCTGGCCAATTTTGAATGTGTCAGATTTGAGATTCTGCCTCCCTAACTTTCTCTAAAGAGCGTCAGTTGGATACACTACTACTTCACTATTGAATAGTGTTTGACACTTAGATGAAGTGATTTTTGCAATGTAGTTTTCCATTAAGTAGATAAATTACTAAAAGTTAGTACAGGTTCTGGCTCTAAAATCTAGGATGATTCTCTAGTCTAGCAATATCCGTGGTTCAGCATGACCATGGATGTTCCAAGACCAGAGATTCCTAGCACATTGCAGAGGGCTGGGGCCCAGGAGCCGGCACGCGGCTCAGCTGGGCTGCGAGGGGGGCCAGGAGCTGGCGTGCAGCTTAGCTGGGCTGCAAGAGGGGGCTGGAAGCCAGCGCACGGCTCAGCTGGGCTGTAGGGAGAGCCAGGAAGTCCACGGCAGGGGAGGGCAGCAGCATGGGGCCTAAAATTACCTCCCCAGTCCAGAAAAATCCCTTATCCAGGACCAGTTAGGTCCAGCCTGTATCAGGGTACTGCTATCTTAAGAGTACTTTAAGTACTTAATGTTTCAAGGAACAGGCTGAAAGGAAAACCAGAGTTTGAACAAGCATTTAAAGTTGCTGCTGTGGCAAATATTATTTAACTGGTTAATTTAAACCAATTTAAAGTAACTCACTGAATAACAGAACTTTATGAAGTTGCCTTTATAAAGGCTACCTCATTCTATTTCAGAGGTGGCTGTATTTTCAGAGTGCAATGAGAAGATACTAGTATATATGTAGTATAAGCATTTTGAGATCTATAAACATGTTTTGTTGTTTTTTTATTTCATTGTCACCTCAGACCTTTTGGACAAGCTTTGAGGCCTCTCCTGGACTCTATCCAGATCCAGCCACCTGGTGGGAATACCTTCCGCAGACATAATGGACAGAGCTAACACGAGTGGATGGATGTGCCTAGTTTCACCAGGCTTTTCCTTTTTAAACAAAAATCTAGCAGATTTCTATTTTATAATTTCACATCAACATTGACTCCAAGGAAATGACAGGATGTTTTTTCAGAATTCCTGGGGAGATGATTTATCAGGTTGCATGTGGGACAGCGCTACCAAAAAGATTGCCATCATTTCTAATACCATTATTCTAACTTATTAAGGTTGTCTTGTCTGAGTACACTGATACTTTCTAAAATAGCCCCCAGGCTGGAGATGTGGGGATTAATTCTAAGGAGAATGGATTCAGTTTCAGGTAGCCAAGGGGAGGCAGAGGTTTAAGAGTCTAGCAGTCTCAGACTTGCATATTTTTTCTTTTTCACTACCCATATTATGGGATATTTGCTGAAGTCTGTAACAGGAAGATACAGGGAGTTTTGTAATACTGCAGTGGGTCCCCCCCCCCAGTATTAAAACCTTCTAACTATTCCATTAGTGTTGTGGTGTTTGCTCAAGTGGAGAAGTTAACCTAGCCTAGTCAGAATACTCATAGTGGTAAAGTCATCCAGGTGAATAAAACCTGCTAGCATCTCATTGAAACTTCTGTCAGTGATGGAGTCTTCAGTGACATAAGGTATGAGTTGGTTGGTGGCTGCAGCAGTGTGTCATCACTAGCCTTGTAATGCTGGATCCAAGAATTAGGGGATGGAGGACAGGACATCTTGAAAAATGGGTATCCTTTTCAGTCAGGGAAAAATGAAGTGAAACTTTTCCTTTTCCCCATGCCATCAAGCTCATAGGCCCCTGTGCAGAATACTTGTAACTGATTACCTGGTATGAGTTGGTTGGTGGCTGCAGCAGTGTGTCATCACTAGCCTTGTAATGCTGGATCCAAGAATTAGGGGATGGAGGACAGGACATCTTGAAAAATGGGTATCCTTTTCAGTCAGGGAAAAATGAAGTGAAACTTTTCCTTTTCCCCATGCCATCAAGCTCATAGGCCCCTGTGCAGAATACTTGTAACTGATTACCTCTA